TTGCATCGTTGCGGTTACGCTCTAATTCAAGTTTTTGACATACTGAAAAATTTGAATATAACCAAAAGATTCGTTTATCGTACCATCAAACGATACAATGAAGACTCTAGTGTAGATGACAGGTCAAGAAGTGGTCGCCCTCGGTCTGTTAGGACTTCAGCAGTGATAAAAGCTGTGAAAGCGCGAATTCAAAGAAATCCCAAACGTAAGCAGAAACTGTTGGCCCTTCAGATGGGGTTAACCAGAACCACGGTGAAAAAGGTGTCAAATGAAGACTTAGGGCTTCGGCCATATCGAAGAAAAACAGGACATCGTTTGAATGCTCGTCTAATGGACCTGAGACTGAAGAGATGCCGCGCTTTGTTGAATCGGTACGCGGGAAAAAATATCGGGAAATTCTTTTTTCGGATGAAAAAATTTTTACCGTAGAAGAGAGCTACAACAAACAAAATGATAAGGTGTACGCACACAGTAATTAAGAAGCGAGCAACCGTATTCCGCGTGTCCAACGAGGTCATTTTCCATCCTCGCTCTCATGGTATGGTTGGGAGTTTCTTGTTGGGGCTTAACAGAGGTACATTTTTGTGAGAAAGGTGTAAAAACGAATGCAGTTGTGTATTAAAATACAGTCCTGACGAACCTTGTGTAACCTGTTTCTCATACCATGTTCAATAAAAGGCACTGGGTATTCCAACAAGATTCGGCGTCATCTCATAGCGAAAGAGCGAAGAGCATACAAGACTGGCTGGCGGCGCGTGAAATCGACTTCATCCGGCACGAAGACTGCCCCTCCTCCAGTCCAGATTTGAATCCGTTAGATTACAAGATATGGCAACACTTGGAGGAAAAGGCGTGCTCAAAGCCTCATCCCAATTTGGAGTCACTCAAGTCATCCTTGATTAAGGCAGCCGCCGATGTTGACATGGACCTCGTTCGTGCTGCGATAGACGACTGACCGCGCAGATTGAAGGCCTGTATTCAAAATTACGGAGGTCATTTTGTTGGGTACAAATGATAAACCAGGGTCACATTGGGTAGCTTTATATATCGATACGAATGACGTCGGTCAATATTTTGATTCATTCGGACGAGCACCTGTACGATACCATCTAGAGTTTTTAAAAAGAAATTGTAAAAGATGGAACTGGAATGTTGATAGGATTCAGAATGAGTGGACTTCAGTTTGTGACGAATATTGCTTAATGTATTTGCTATATAAGTTTCAGGGGTGTTCAATGCATAGTTTTACGAGTATATATACAGGGTACATTGTACAACGATATTTTTATATTTAGTGGTATTAGTGGATGAGATGTTTCGCTCCTATTTTATAGATAATAAGTAATAAGATTTTGTTTTTGTAAATAAAAATTTTAACAAAATTAGGTAATGTGTTTTATTGATGAGTCAGATTAGTGTAGATAGGAACAAAGGAGTATAATACAATAGCACCACGCTGAGGAAGAATAGATAATGACGGTATTTAATGAACAATAGATAAATAGATAAGAACAATGGAGCGCTAATGACGGTGGAGGCCTTCACCGGATATCAATTAGATAAGAGTTAATTGATCTGCACATCTCCGGAACCGTGCATCCGACGCAAAAATGGATTCGTGATCAGAGCATGCCAAAACTTTTTTTTTTAGGATCGTGAGTCGACGAACGTCGTACTTGTACCACTTCCGACTCAGTGAGCCAGAACTGGTACAACGTAACTACTGAGGATAGATGTAGATATCTACGGGCCGCAGCAACTACTTACAATCAGGTGGACTGTGTGCTCGTTTGTCACCCTATTCTATAGAAAACATACAAAATAAAAAGGTGTATTCATTTCAACGATGAGAACCGTGGTAGCTTAGAGGAGCGCCGGTAGCTCAGATGGTTAGCTCTCGCGTTAAATTTCACAGTACGCCAGCAAACCGGGTTCGATCCCCGCAGGCGTCAATGAAATTGTTAATTGCAATTTTAAGTGCTGGTAGAGGTAAGGCCCAGCAGTGGGACGTAAATAGGCTGTAACTTAACTAACTTAACTATATCAACGATGATAGTCTGAAATAATCAGCTGAACAAATTATAGCTAGGCAACAATAAAAACTAAATGGATGGATGTACATAAGTATAAAATTAAATAAATATATAACATGGGTACACAGATTTTGACACAAAACTGACAATCAACACTAAAATTTTACGTACATTTCAAGTCAAATTTCCGCAACCAGCATGTTAGTTCTAAGATAGCGGTTTGCTTCATACAAATTAAAAAACAATTTAACACGTACTTAATGAGATAAAACACAAAATGAAATTACAAATAAGGAGGTTACTTACCCAGGCATTGTTTTAACACAATTCACCACACAATTAATATAAATTAGTACAAAATAATTGCTAACAACTTTGTTGTTAGCGCGCGTCAGTCACACTAATGGCTGACTCAAGGCACGGACGACTTTATCGTATGGTATATATAAAAATCCTACTAAAGTGTATAAGTGTGGGGTTTTTATGGTAACCTTTTTTATCCTGTACACATCGACATATGGTAGAATGAGTAAGACATAGTGCGTAATGCTTTATTTCGACATTAAAATAGCGGGTAAAAAATGTCCAGTACTTGGACACCCGCAGTCAACGGAGTTATTTTCGTGTCTAAGGGTTAGACGTCCGCAGTTGAGAGGTTAGATGCGATAAAATCCGTAAATTTAGTTTTATTCAATGTGTAGTGTTCGCGTAAATTTAGGAAATCATAAACAAATGTCATTTTTTTCTTCTTTTAATGCATCGCTTATCTTGATAGATTCTGCTATCTCTGAATATCTTACCAGGTCGTCACTCCATCTAGCTGTTAGGCGTACACTACACGCTCATGCAGGCTGTCAGTTTTACAACAATCACGGTTGTGATTGACGAATAACCTACAGTGTAATGCAGTGGTTGACGCCTGCATGAGCGCGTAGTGTACGCCGCCTCGGTCACCATCCGTTTTTTATCAATCATGATTGATGGAATTGATTAACGCCTGCTTGAGCGTGTAATTTACGCCTTACTCTATAATTTGATTTTAATCAATTAATAGGTCAATTAATTGTGCAAACCTTAGAATGATATATGTATAATGACTGTAAGGTGCAAACAAAAAAAATATAGAACAGAATTAACATTTTAAGTTTCTTACGTTATAATAATTATGTATATTTTTGTATCTAATTTTTAAAATGGCAATCTTTAACAACGTGAAGAAAAAAAACAGCGATATCTTTTTCTCGTTTTATTTTTACACGCTCAACCCACCCATGGACAAAGTTATTATGACTGTGTGCAAATTTCTCGGATTTCATACAAAGATTACAACCACAATTACCTGACTACGACTAAATTTTTTTTATAGGATAGGGTAACAAACAAGCACACAGTCCACCCTGTAGTGTGGCTCCACGAAGTTATATATATTTATGTTAAGTGTGGAATAAGAACAGTATAATTAAAGTCTTGAGTAGAGAAACACGTCATCCTTTTATTTAACAACCGTACGACATTACAATGGTAAGCAGTTGCTGCGGCCCATAGACATCTACACTTATCTTCGATTACGAATCAAAATGCAGATGCGTTCTCACCCGTGTGGACTAAGGTGAAATGCCTCGTTTTCAGTAAAAATGGTCTCCGGTTCTCTACACTCACAATACGAAACACAGCAGCATTAAGCTACTATTTTACGCTGGTATTCTGTGAGAGCGTCGGCCTTCCCTGGTCGAGCCGACCCATTCGTGCTACAACTATACTACTAATATAACTGCAGCATGGCTCTATCACGTATAAAAACTCGACTTTATTTGAACAATCTTTACGATACAGGGAATCGGCAAACCATGTCGCGATTTTATACAACAGGAGCGCTATCTAGTTATATATATATATATAACCTTGTCGAGAGATTTATATATTTAAGAAGAAACATAATTGTTTTCTTAGAATTACCTACTTATGTCAGTAGCAATTTACATATTCTATTCTTGTTTATGTACAAAGGTAAATTATATAAAATAGATTGTATCATATAAATTGTGTAATATTACGCCTTGTATAATTGATGGATTTGATTTAATTTTAATTTTATTTTCTTTTTATAGCGTTTAAATAAAAGCTTGTGTTTGAAAATGGTTTTTTACTATTAATTTAGTTTTTACTCAATCGTTTACCGCCAGCAGTTGACCCCTGTCAGTCCTCAGAACATCTGTTCGAACATCACCAAACTATCCCTAACCATTGCCGATTTATAAGTCTTGGCGGTCCCGGCGGCTCGGTGCTTCTCCCCAGTCTACATCTCACAAGTCCAGTGAGTAAGTTTTTTACTTAGTTTAAGTCATGCTTGACCACAATCCCACCTGGTGGTAAGTGGTGATGAAGCACTGCCTTAGTGTGTAACAAAGACCTATTCAGGTAAGACTCAAGGTCTTACACGCCGGATTGTAATCGGACAAAAAACAGACGCCGGCAAATTATTCTTTTATAATCTGTAAAAGTACACGCTGGATATAGTCGTTTCCGTTTGTGTGGATGATTGGGCTAGATCATCGAGCAGGTCAAGAAGATATATAAATTTTAAAAGCACTTTATAGGTCTTATTTATTTAATACTTTAAAGGTTTTATTGAAAGTTCCCTAACCAAGTCATTCATCATCCAAGTCAAGCTAACATCAAATTGTTTAATGTTCTGAGTTATCCTTTATATTCTGGACTTACACCACCACTCTTAACACCACTCCAGAATACGTTTATGTATATAATGACTATTTACCCCTCCCTCCGAACGAAGGACATCCCTTCGACCAGTGCGTGTTGTATATTTCACTTCCATATACAATGAACACCGTTCACATACACAAAACTACGCATGCGGGCGGTGACGGTGATTGCGACGCGTTTATGTGTGTAGTCAGAATGGTTCATGACTATCAGTGTTATCTCTCAGTGATATTTTTTTTACAGGGAAAACTATTGGATATAGAGTTTGACTTCAAGGGAGAACCAGTGGGTGGACACATAACACACTGTGAGTACCTGCTTACCTCATGTACTTTTGTTAAACATATCCTATTGTGATGCAAGCAAAGCTTATCGAATGACTGTTAGTCAATCAAACATTTATGGTACAATATGTAACTAAAATGTTTGTAACAATTATAATAAAGACATTAATTTGCAACCATCCGCTCAATTAAATACAATGATGTGTCTTACTGGAATTGAAGAGCACCCCCCGCCCTCCCTCAATTGCGTGCACTAATCCCGTTACCACTACTCTCAACACCACTACTCCCGGCACCACTATTCCAGGCACCACTATTCCAGGAAAGACACACCATCGACGATAATACGACACGTGTTTTATATTATTAAGTTTTGTATTGCCTGGAGTAGTGGTGTGTGTTGGGAGTAGTGGTGCCGAGAGTAGAGTTGTTGGGATTAGTGGTAATGGGATTAGTGCACGCAATTGAGGGAGGGCGGGGGGTGCTCTTCAATTCCAGTAAGACACATTATTGTATTTAATTGAGCCGATGTTTGCAAATTAATGTCTTTATTATAATTGTTATGATGGATTTCCGCAAAGTAACGCCTGATTCTATCAATTATCTTGAAAATGTTTGTCGATGATCTAAAAGCAATAGAAACATCATGACTAGAAAAACAAAATGGGTAGTGTAGAAGTATTCTTTAAATGTTAAAATTAAGTTTAATTTATTACGCTAATCACTTTATACATACCAACATTTATGAGACCACCTGATGATCATTGGATATTTTGTCCCGTAGACATCTTAAACTATCCTTGATTAAGAATTAAAGTGTAGATATGCGTTGTCACCCCCGAGGAATCAGATGTAATACCTTATTTGTAGTAGAAAGGGTCTCCGATTCCACTCGTTCACTGTACGAAACAATATCATGCTGCTGTTCTACGCTGGTGTTCCGTCAGCGTGCTTGTGCTCCGCTCGAGCCGACATGTTCGTGCGACAGCCGTAACGTAGCCGTAACGTATGAAATCTGTGATCGGCATCATACGAGCATGTTTGCAATCCAACACACTACATTTAAATAAAACTTGTGTTACAATATTATTTTGATGCTAAATGCTGATTCACAATACCCCTCAAAAATTGATACTAATATCTGTTTCTCCTTGCATGCAGATCTGTTGGAGAAGGTAATATAGTTCTGAATTATTATAATCATATTTTATTATGTTTTTTTTTAATTTAAGTAGGTAATAAAACTATTTTCGTGTTTGCAAGTAGCAACCCATACCATGTAGCTTACCGCGTAGTGGTGTTGTAAGAGTATCCACTACCGCGTATGGTACGTGAATGTTTTAAGAGGCGACACAGCGGAACTGAACCGGGAGGCGGGCAGCAGCGTCCTAATGACGACTAACAATGAACAGCTGCGGCTGTCCGCGTGCCCAGCGTGTGCACTGCGACAGCATGCTGCCTGCCCGCGTGCCCGGCGTGTGCACTGCGACAGTATGCTCACTATGAAGCACTCCAGAGAGGAGATCTGTGTTCAGAAGTGGACTTCAAGCGGTTGCAACGGTATAGCAGGTACCTCAGGCATTAACATACTCATTTGAATACACAGGAGCGGGTGTGCAGTGTAATGGAGGGAGAGCGTAATTTCCACGTACTATACCAACTGCTAGCCGGCGGCGACGCACACCTTCTCAGTAAGTGTTTTATCTATTATGGGCCATCTATATTCACTCTCTGCTGAAACTTATTTAAAGTCTAAGACTTACATTATTTCAAAGAGTTTCCAGCTTCCCATCGGCATTTTTTAGGTCTTGGGTTCCTATTTCTGGACAGGTTCTCTGTTACACACACACACACACACACGCGGCAGCTTTGCTGTTGCCACGTATGGGCCGGCTCAAACCGGTTAGTACCACGAACTCACATAATACCGGCGTGAAATGGAAGCTCTGCTTCCGCGTTTCGTTTGGTGAATGTAGGTGGCCAGAGGCCCAATTCTCTCCCCGTCCCCCTTAACATGGTAGCGAAATTAAGTGAAAATCTACCCCAAGAGGGTACCAGCACCCCTGGAGAATCCCTCGCTAAGCATCCACGACCAAGTTACTCCACTCCTCAGCGTGGATGCTCAGGCTGCATCGTATATATATATCGTATCTCTCCTATCCGAAGTACAAACTGCAACACTCCTTTGTGCCTCGAGCTGGAGTTTGCGTATTCGTCAGATGCTCATCTGTTCTCGACGCCTCGGCAGTCTTGAAGATTCGGACCTGTCCATCCTTTGGCTACGCGTAGACAGCGACAAGGTGCTTCTATAGGTCCCATAGCGGTAATGCCGAAACAGACAGACTCTTCGAACATATCCAAATGGCTACAGATTCGTTGCTACAACAGATCCCCTCCGCAGAGATCGTAATCCTCGGCGATTTTAACGCCCACCACGCCCAATGGCTTGGTTCACGTTCAACCGATGATGTGGGGGTATCTGTTCATGATTTTGTCTTGGCATATGGTCTGACACAACTGGTTACTTAGCCTACGCGGATTCCAGATGTGGAGGACCATGCACCTTCCCTGTTGAACCTTTTGCCGACCTCTTATCCGGACGGATATTAGATTTCCGTCGACGCCCGTTTAGGCTCCTCAGACCATTGTCTTTTCCGGAGTGTGGTGCAACTCACGCTGAAATCGCGATTGCATTCTGCAGGCTGCCGCCGTGTTTGGCACTATAGGTCAGCTGATTGGGATAGGATGCGGTCTTTCTTTACATCCCACCCTTGGAGGCGGGTTTACTTCTCGCCGGACATCCCAATGTTGTTGCTGATTATATCGCTGATGTGGTATCTCAAGGTATGGAACTTTTTATTCCTTCTTCTGTGGTGTCCATCGAAAGGCAAATCTCAGCCATGGTTTGGTCGCTCCTGTAAAATAGTGTCACGTTATAAGCAGGAGTGCTACCAAGTCTGGGCTGACGCATCAACGTCCCGGGATGTAAACACCAGCGCTCTAAAAAAAGGAGTATAATTCCGCTTCCAGGTCCTTCAAAAGAGTCATTGCCAAGGCAAAGTCAGAGCACATAGGCAGAATTGGCGAGAAACTAGTTCGCCTTCCTTCTGGAACCCGTGCATTCTGGTCTCTCGCCAAGGCTGTACAAGGGAATTTCTGTCAGCCATCTCTTCCATCTCTGCACAGAGAGGACGGCTCACTAGCCCATGCTGCAAAGAAGAAAGCTGATCTGCTAGGCTCTTTCTTTGCGTTTAACTCCACTCTCGATGACGGCGGGAACACACCGCCGACCATCCCGCGGTGTGAGTGCTCCTTGCCGGATGTGCGATTCACACAGCGCTAGGTTTGCGAAGCACTCCTATCCCTGGACATCCAAAAATCAAGTGGGTCTGACGGAATCCCCCCAATTGTGCTGAGGACATGTGCTCCATAGTTGGCACCTAATGTAACGCGTCTTTTCCTGTACTCCTACTCCCTAGGCGTAGCCCCTAAATCTTGGAAGACGGCTTTCGTCCACCCGATGTCTTAAAAAGGCGACCTCCCAGATACGTCAAACTACAGGCCTATCGCCATCACCTACTTGTTCTCCAAAATAATAGAATCCATTATAAACTGCCATCTCATTCAGCACCTTGAGGATCACCAGCTTTCTTGCAGATCGGATCATCAAGGTCATTGTAGACGGTGCAAGCTCCGATTGCAAGCCTATTAATGCTGGTGTTCCACAAGGCTGCGTGCTAAAGGCCAAATTGGCCTCTAAAAAGCTTGGCGTGCTCAGCAGAGCGGGACAGTATTTCATGCCGGCACACCGCCTTCTACTTTACAAGGCGCAGGTTCGGCCGCACATGAAATACTGTTCCCATCTCTGGGCTGGGGCTCTCCAGCGTCTTCCACTTGACCGCATCCAGCGCAGAGCGGCTCGAATCGTCGACGACCGAGTGCTTTCCGATCGGCTCGATTCACTGGCACTGCGAAGAGATGTTGCATCTCTTTGCATTTTATTTCGCACATACCATGGAGAGTTCCCTGAGGAATTGTTCGGATTAATCCCAGCCGCCAAATTTTGTGAACGCACTACGCGGCAAACGTCCCGATACCATCCACATCATCTGGATGCTGGGCGGTCCACCACAGTACGTTTCAAAAGGAGTTTTCTTCCGCGTACAACCTCTCTGTGGAATAGTTTACCACCGGCGATTTTACCGGACCGATACGACCTGGGGACCTTCAAGAAAAGAGCTTACTCCTTTCCAAAGGGCCGGCAACGCACCTGCAATTCCCTTGGTGTTTCGGTTGATCATGGGCGGCGGTAGTCACTTAACATCAGGTGAGCCGCATGCTCGTTTGCCCCCTCTTCTATAAAAAAAATCTAAAAAGCTTGGCGTGCTCAGCAGAGCAGGACAATAATTTATGCCGGCACACCGCCTGCATCTTTATGTAGCGGCGCTGTCGTCGCGCCACAAGCGAAATACACCGAATCCTAAGTCACGCTATCAACATTTCGAATCATAAACAGTATATATAAAACATCTCCGAACTATCATACGGAGTGTGAGCCGCTCCCCGGGCAGAACACCTTGCCCGTCGGGAGATCTCCCCTTTTCTTTCCGCGGCCACATTTACAAGGCGCAGGTTCGGCCGCACATGGAATACTGTTCCCATCTCTGGGCTGGGGCTCTAAAGTACCAGCTCCTTCCACTTGACCGCATCCAGAACAGAGCGGCTCGAATCATCGACGACCGAGTGCTTACCGATCGGCTCGATACACTGGCGCTGAGAAGAGATGTTGCATCTCTTTGCGTATTTTATCGCATCTATCCCGGGGAGTGCTCTGAGAAATTGTTCGGATTAATCCCAGCCGCCAAATTTCCTGAACGCACTACGCGGCAAACCTCCCGATATCATCCACACCATCTGGATGCTTGGCGGTCCACCACTGTACGTTTCACTAGGAGTTTTCTTCCGCTTTCGACACCTCTCTGTGAAATTGTTCTTCTGAATCTTTCTCAAGATTTAGTCTGAGAAATCCTCTTCACTGCCGAAGAGGAACAGTTGCCGCTCCATCAGCTACCGGCGTGTCCCGATGAGCTATTTTTATCGCACATATGGCTACGCATAAGGCTTTTTGTTGTATTCATTTGTAAATTTTATTCACGTCTGGGAATTGTTTAAAACCGTTAAATTTATCTTGAGATTTGCAGGTATTATAAAAGTTACTCAATAAATACGTGATTAAAATTTGAGATTGTCAAAAGTATATTTTATTATTATTGATTTAAAATATTTTTGGAAAGGTATAATATATATTGTTAATACTTTATAATTGACAAAAACTGAAACAAAATCAAATTGCCAAAAAATATTTTTTTTGCAAATGTATGCTGCATAGTAATGAAATTACCGAATAATGAAGTAATTCATTCAACTTTCTACGTAACACATTTGTGTACCTTATGTTTGCTTACGTTTGGGGAAAAGATCTTGAAACTTCTGTTAGTCGAATAATCATTAACTCGAATTTTTAAGCATTTCGCTTGGAATTCGAGTTTTTTTTTGTATAGAATAATAGTGACAAACGAGCGAACAGTCCACGTGGTTGTAAGTGGATGCCGTAGACTATTGACATCTACATCTATCTTCAGTTACGAACCTGACGATTAGGATGAAATACCTCGTATCCAGTAAAAAAGGTCACCGGTTCTCCACACTCACCATACGAAATATCATCATTAAGCTGGTATTTTACATTGGTATTCTGTGAGGGTGTGGTCGAACCTACCTACTCTTATCATTAGTGTAATATAGCTGGAGCTTGGCTCTTGCAAGTAAGGTGGTGTATAAATAATAAAATGTATGGATGGTTCCTCCAGAGCGCCTGCGGCTGCAGCGTTCGTGGGAGCACTACCGCATACTGTGCGGTGCGGGGGCCGGGGCGGGTGGCGGAGCGGGCGCGTCCCCGCGGCACGCCGCGCCGCCCGCCGCCGCGCGCGCGCCGCACGCCGACCGGGACCACTTCGCCTTCACCAAGGTCATCTGCGTTACACTTTTAACATGGATTAAGAACAGCATACAGCAACACGGCTCTCCGGCGGACCGGAAGGGAGTACTCGTATAGCGATTTTTTCCGATTCAAAACTATATGTCATTTATTTGCGGGGAAATCTGCGCACACATAAATCATATATCGTTCGTGCGTGTGCGTGTGCGTGTGCGTGTGCGTGTGCGTGTGCGTGTGCGTGTGCGTGTGCGTGTGTGTGTGCGTGCGTGCGTGTGTGTGTGTGTGTGTGTGTGTGTGCGTGTGCGTGTGTGCGCGTGCGTGTGTGTGCGTCCGTGTGTGCGCGTGCGTGTGTGTGTGTGTGGCGTGAGTGTGTGCGTGCGTGCGTGTGTGTGTGTGCGTGTACGTGGGCGTGGGCGTGGGCGCGTCCGTGTACGTGGGCGTGTGCGTGGGCGCGCGCGCGCGCGTGTGTGTGTGTATGTGTGTAAACCTCACTCTCAGAACTTTTGAAGAACTTGACCGATTTGAACGGTAATCTTTCAACCGATTTGGACCGGTAGGTTTTGAGAAATCGCAAATATAATATTTTCAGAAATCGATGACGAATTATTTCGAAAAAGTATTTTTTTCACATAACTTTTGAATTTATAGTATAATCGTCTTTTAACAATAGATTTTATTATTGTTCTTTAAATACCTCATCAATTGCCACCAATTACATCAAAATTGGATAATCCGTTTTAAAATCGTTGTTGACAAAAATAAAAAAAAGTCTTTTTTATTTAATGACTGTAATTTTTAATATATAAATATTTAGAAATTTCTATGTTATTCGAGCATACCGGGAAGCTCCAGGAATGGCCTGAATTTTGCAAATTAGACACTTGCAAATTAGACAGTGAAGACGGGAGTAAACATCGGAAAATGATGAAGAAACCGAAAAAACGGGGGCGATCAACGCTCCGGGAAGTCTGCAGTCTGTGAACACGTACAGGATCGCCCCCGTCACTACATCAGATTTGATAGACCGCAGATCCTCGCTAAAGAACACCGATTCCTTCCCAAGGATGATTCGCGAGGCTATTGAAATCAAAAAACATCCTAATTTCAATAGAGAAGATGGCTGGGTGCTACCATCTGCTTGGGATCCTATAATAAATAAAATTAAATCCCAACCCAAGCATACAACTGCAAGACTTCAAGATACCATAAGTTCATACTGCATAGATCGGAACAAAAGTTAAATTTTAATCTATGGTAACCGCGGTTAACTATGACATATGGACGTTGAACATCTCAGTCCTTCCCGTGACCATGAGTGCTGTAAAGCGTTCGAAACGTCGGGTATTTAAAAGTTAAATATACGCGATAAATTCCGTAAAAACTAGTATTATTTCAATGTGTAGTGTTCGCGTAAATATAAGAAATCATTAAGAAAATGGAAAGTTTAAAGTAAAATTTTTGCCTCCTAATGTGACATCCTTGCTGCAACCAATGGATCAAAGTATTATTGAAACATTAAAACGACTTTATAGAAAACAACTTTTACGAAGGTTGTTATCTGTTGATGAAGATAATGTAGAAGTCGTTTTATTATTTTTTAAAGAAATGAATTTAAAGGAGTGTTGTTACGTGGTTGTAGATGCGTGAGATTTGATTGAAAAGAAAACTTTAAACAAGGCTTGGAACAGAGTGCTTAATCGGGAGAATGAAAATTTAATAACCAATACGGATGATTCTATTTTGGAGGATATAAATGAGCTAATGTTAAAGATACAAATATGCCAGGATTGTGATGAAGATGATATGAAAGAGTGGATCACTTGTGACAGTAATGATCAAGGCTTTCAGATTATGTCGGATGACGAAATCGTAGAAAACATATTGCAGATAAATGAACAGCAGGAAATGCAAGAAGATGAAACAGAAGAAAATATAGACATGGAAAATGATGCATGACCGTCTCATGATGAAGCACTTCAGGCCCTGGAAACGGCTCTCAAGTGGTTTGAAAAACAAACAGAGAGTGATACTGTGAGTTTACTACAGCTCAAACGAATTCGTGATATAGCAGCAATAAAGAGAAAAAGTGGCTTACGTCAAATGACAATTACCAAATATTTTAAACGAAATTAAACTTATTATTTTATTTCATAATTACCTAACACAAATTACCAAATACACATTCTAAACAAATTATACGTACATACGTATCTATATATTTGATTTCATATTTGAGGCTGCAGTATTTTAGTATGTATGTGTGTAATCTAAGAAAATATGTATGTTCACAAATAAGTGCATACATTGTATATTGAAAAATTTATCTCTTAATAATTTCTTAATAAACATCGATTTTCGTTGATATTATTGTTTTTAATAAACACATAACATTATGTATGTATGTACTATAAATGCACAAAACCCGCTTTTCTTCATACATTCGATTATCCGGATTTTCGATTATCCGAATCCCTAACGGCAACAATTAGTCCGGTTAATCGAGTTTCCACTGTAGGTATAATTTTAAATAGGTTAAATAGGTATAATTGATATATGGAAAAAACGTATGGTGACCAGGGTAGCCAATAGCATAAAAAAACATGCCTACTTCATGCAGATTCTAAAACGGAAGTAAACTCATATTTTTGTGGTCAAATTACTGAGTTATTGCTATTTAAATTCGGCAAGGATGATTTTCACAAAGTTTAATATTCATTTAAATTACAAAAATCACTTGCAATAAATTATTTCGACTTACTAACTGTGTTCAGATGTTTGAAAAGGGGCGGGCCTCAAGTTTAGGTGGCTGACTTTGAATAATTTACTATTTGGTGCGTGGGCACAAGATTGCGTAACGGGTTTCTTATTGTGAGATATAGATGTAAAGGAAGCTTCCTTAAATTTTTTTTTGATTTTTGTTTAGTTTTAGGTCGTGTTTCGATACTCTCGATATCAGGTGTGCTTATTTCGTTTTTCATGGCTTATCTTCGATTAACGACCACTCGGCATTCCTATTAGACTATTATATTCTGCATTACGATTGGACTGTTATTTGGTGATATTTGCAACTACTCTACATTCTACTGGACTTAATGTTTTGTGAACTACGATTGTGTTGTTGCTGGACAGGTCAAGATGATATTGAAATGCCCCGCATACAATACTCAGCTCAGGATCATGCTAATATGTGACGTCAATGCCCTAGAGATACCTAAATGTTCACTCTGACTACCACGAGTTTCGGGAAGTAAGGTGTTGTATTTGGTAGAGGTGTAGTCCCAGATTATAACAATATTACTCGCATTGAAAGGAACTAATGAACTGTTTTCGAGAAAAAAAAACTATTATAACATATAAATGGGCAAAACATATAAAAAAAAACGAATGCAATATTGAAATAATACTAGTTTTTACGGAATTTATCGCGTATATTTAACTTTTTAACTTTTTAAAGCACTCATGGTCATGGAATGCAATATTACTGTGAAAGCTGAATAGTATACATAATTTTGTGTAAGTGCGACAAGGACGTAAGACCATCTCAAAGACTAATATCACATTATTATTTATAGTATTTTTATTGTTCTGTGGTCTATACTCTGTTAATAAATTATGTTTACAAAAACTGTAAGGGGAAGGTAGTCTAGACCATTTAGAACCATTTAGGCCATAGTTACGTCAGACTAATTCCGATAATTTTTTTAACGATTTTCTTTTGGTCTTGGTGATAAACCACAAAAATTTACAGTTAATTCCTAATATTTGCCAATTATATTGACGAATGTTTTAATTTTTTTTAATTAAAGTAATACGTAGTGTCGAACCAAGGAACTAGTTCACATTAATGTATGAATAAACACAAAAGAAGAATTAAAAAAAAGAACTAATTCAACGTGTGGAACAATGAAGCTTGATATGATGTTATAATAATAATAATAAAAAAAGGCGTAGGGAAGTGACGACCCCATCGCCCGCTGACGTAACATTTATGTGACAAAACTACTACGTCGGCATAGTCAGTCAGCGCCCTGCCAAGAGGTGTGAGCGCCGTGCCTAGGCAGAGTTGTGGGTGCAAAGGTCCGTTTGTGCATATGACTGAACCACGAAACGGTGCCGGGCTTGGGCGTCTCCCGTTATTTGGCGCCCATAAATGGATGATGGCACAAAGAGAAACGCGCATAGAGCCGCTGCCTGGGGGTCGCCAGGGCGCGTCTGGAGCTGGCGCTGGACGCGGCAGCATGCGGGCCGCCAGCCGAGCGCGAGGAGCTGCACGATCACCTAGCAGCCATCCGCATCCATCATCCCCACCAGAAGGCTTGGTGTCGGCTGGGTCTTCTCGGACTCAGCAAGCGGCACCCGCCGCTAGTGGATCACGTCACATGCGTTGGTCACAAACAATGAACGCAAACGCACTGCGGGCGTAATTTAGGACAAAAGGGGAAGAAACAGGATGTTTGGCATATCGGGCTCGGATGCATCGCTTTTTTTCAGAGCTGGAGCCATCTCTATCCGTCACTGAGCAAAACCTGGCAGACCGAGTTCGGTACATCCTGCGCTCCAACATATTTGGTGACGCCGAACTCGAACGACTACGACGTGAGGCTGTTCCCTCATCGGATGGAAATGCTACGGCTGGGAATGCGGCACCACTAATTGCGCAGCAAACTGCAAATGTGGATGCTGCCGTCAATATTCCATTTGTGATTGATTCAGACGATGGTGGAATAGTCCCCCACCAACTATAGAAAATGAGGAGCATAATGGAAGAGTCGATGCTGGAAACGCGCAACATGCCTCTCGAAAATCGACCGCGACTTCCCCGCATTCCCCTTAGCAAGCGAAATCGGGCTGTCGTGTGGGCTCTTAACCCAATGCTGGTGACCTATTTGGAAGCCAGCCGGGACCTTTGCGAGACGGACTCAATTCTTTTTGGCGCTGCACTGGCAGTATGCCGTATTATTGGCGCCAAACTTCCTACGGCTGGACGTGCTACTCGACAAAATAGCGCCATCCCAGCCTGGAAAAAGAGAATTGAGGACCGTATCGCAAAGGCAAGGGCCCTTATCGGCTGACTGACACGCTTCAGGTCTGGTAATAATAGACCGAGAGTTGTGCGCACCGTTAGGATGGCGTTTACTTCGACAAACATTAGTTTGTCCCAGCCGGATATCACGCAGAAACTAACGGAGCGCATAGATGACCTGAAGCAAAAAATCGCTGCTTGGGGGAAGCGGATTCGACGATTTAGCGAGAGGTCAAGGCGGTTCAACCAGAATCGTCTCTTTCAGAGTGATCAGAAGAGGCTCTATAAATCATTGGAGCGACTAGAGGTATGTGGAGCGGGCCCAGGACCGGATCAGGCTGACACTATCGCATTTTGGCGCGGCCTGTGGTCAGAGCCCGTAAACCACAACGAGGGCCCATGTATGGAAGTTGTGGCGAGCCAGAGTGCGAGTGTTACGCCTATGGACCCCGTCACCGTAACGCCAGAAGACGTGGCTGAGGCAGTCCGTAGGGCCCCGAACTGGAAAAGTCCGGGGCTCGACGGGCTGCATCATTACTGGCTGAAGGGGTTCGTAGTGTGTCACGTTGTGCTCGCATGACAGTTCCAAGAGGCTCTCAACCAGAAGTCGCTCCCGAGCCTCTTCACTACTGGGATCACTCATTTGGTTCCTAAAGATCAGGATACCACAGATCCGAGCAAATACCGTCCCATCACGTGTCTACCCACCATATATAAGACACTGACATCCATTTTGAGCGCGAGAATCACTCGTCACCTGGAGTTAAATCAGGTGATGTCACGCGCTCAAAATGGATGTCGGGGCGGTGGTCGTGGAATCCAAGGAACCACTCCTCACTGTCGTGGTCATTGGCAAAGTGGTGAAACGCAATACCGTCGGAACTTTTCCGCCGCCTGGATAGACTACAGAAAGGCATTCGACTCGGTGCCCCATACATGGCTAAAAAGGGTCCTCGAGCTGTACAAGAGTGACTGTTGTAGTTTAAGACTTCCTTGAGCAGTGTATGGGGCAGTGGAGTACGATTCTCTGTTATCTGGGCGAGCGGATGATGGCTGCGGAGAACCACATAAGGATAAGAAGGGGTATCTTCCAGGGCGATTGTCTGAGTCCAATCTGGTTCTGCCTCACTCTGAACCCTCTCAGTACCCTACTGGAGGGCTCCGGGAGAGGATTAAAGCTACGGAAGGGAGGAAAAAAGTGACCCACCTTTTCTATATGGATGACCTCAAGTTATTCGCCTCCAGTCGCTCCCATCTTATGGAATTGCTAAACATCACTTGTGAATTTAGCAATTCTATTGGAATGGAGCTGGGGACGGATAAGTGTGCGGTCCTCCATGTTGAAAGGGGAAGGGTTGCTAACTCTGAGGGTATAGATTTATCTATGCCCGTCAACTTAAGGACCCTTTCCGAGGCTGAAACACACCGATACCTGGGCAAGTCACAGAACATCGGTATCGATGAGGCTGGTATGAAACAGTCAGTTTGCGAAGTGTTTTATGCACGCTTGACCAAAGTGCTTAACAGCCTTTTGTCCGGTGTGAATAAGACACACGCATATAACGGTTGGGTCATGCCTGTCCTCATATATAACTTTGGCATACTCAGGTGGACTCAGACAGAACTTAACGCCCGGGATAGAAAAGTCCGCACTACCATGACGTCCCATAGGATGCATCATCCGAGATCGTCGGTAATGAGGCTGTACTTGCCGCGAAAGCATGGTGGGCGTGGTTTTCTGAGCGCGCTCACCAAAAAGAAAAAAAAGTGTGCCGCCTCCGTCATTACTTTCTGGCGAGATCGGATGATCCATTCTATAATGACGTCATTTCTAGTGATAAAGGGCTTACCCCTCTATCCTTAGCCCACGAGCAATGGCAGGACCCAGCAGTGCTTAGCATTTCCGACCGGGAGACCGTATGGAAGGAGAAGGAGCTCCACGGGAGGTACTACAGGGCTCTTCATGAGCCCTTCGTAGATACAGTCGCCTCCCTCAACTGGCTATGTTTCGGTGACCTCTTCGGGGGAAACCGAGGGTTTTGTCTGTGCAATACAGGATCAGGTTATTAAGACCAACAACTATCGGAGATACATCCTCAAGGATGGCACCGTCGACGTCTGTCGAGCTTGTCGCCATCCCGGTGAGTCGCTTAGGCATGTCATCTCCGGTTGTTCGGCGCTTTCTAACTCTGAGTACTTGCACAGGCACAACCTAGTAGCCAGAATTCTACACCAGGAGCTCGCTCTGAAATACGGTCTCGTGGACCGAAAATTGCTATATTACAAGTACTTGCCGGAAGCCGTGCTCGAAAATGACCGCGCCAGGCTCTACTGGGACCGGGCCATCATCACAGACAGGACTATTCTTGCGAATAAGCCTGATATTGTGCTGATGGACCGGGCACAGTCAAGGATATTTTTGGTCTACGGGTGCCTCTATAGGTCCCATAGCGGTAATGCCGAAACAGACGGACTCTTCGACTACGTCCAAATGGCTACAGATTCGTTGCTACAGCAGATCCCCTCCGCAGAGATCGTGATCCTCGGCGATTTTAACGCCCATCACGCCGAATGGCTTGGTTCACGTTTAACCGATCATGCGGGGAGATCTGTTCATGATTTTGCCTTGGCATATGGTCTGACACAACTGGTTACTTCGCCTACGCGGATTCCAGATGTGGAGGATTATGCACCATCCCTGTTGGACCTTCTGCTGACCTCTCACCCGGACGGATATCAGATTTCCGTCGAAGCCCCTTTAGGCTCCTCGGACTATTGTCTTGTCCGGAGTGTGGTGCCACTCACGCTGAAATTGCAGTTGCATTCTGCAGGCTGCCGCCGTGTTTGGCACTATAGGTCAGGCGATTGGGATGGTATGCGGTCTTTCTTTGCATCCTACCCTTGGGGGCGGGTTTTCTTCTCGCCGGACGATCCCAACGTTGTTGCGGATTCTGTCGCTGATGTGGTACTTCAGGGTATGGAACTTTTATTCCTTTCTCTGTGGTGCCTATTGGAGGCGAATCTCAACCATGGTTTGGTTCATGGTTCGCTCCTGTAAAATAGCATCACGCTATAAGCAGGAGTGCTACCGAGCCTGGGCTGACGCATCAGCGTCCCGGGATGTAAACACCAGCGCTATAAAAAAGAAGTATAATTCCGCCTCTAGGTCCTTCAAAAGAGTCATTGCCAAGGTAAACTCAGAGCACATAGGCAGAATTGGCGAGAAACTAGTTCGCCTTCCTTCTGGAACCCGTGCATTCTGGTCTCTCGCCAAGGCTGTCCAGGGGAATTTCTGTCAGCCATCTCTTCTATCTCTGCACAGGGAGGACAACTCACTGGCCCATACCGCAAAGGAGAAGGCCGATCTTCTGGGTTCTTTCTATGCGTCCAACTCGACTCTGGATGACGGGGGGAGTACGCCGCCGACCATCCCGCGGTGTGAGTGCTCCATGCCGGAAGTGCAGTTCACACAGCGCTCGGTTCGCAAAGCACTCCTCTCCCTGGACATCCACAAATCGAGTGGGCCTGCCGGAATCCCCCCAATTGTGCTGAGGACGTGTGCTCCAGAGTTGGCACCGGTTTTAACGCGTCTTTTCCGGTACTCCTACTCCCTAGGCGTAGTCCTAGGCGTAGTAGTGGAATATGGCTTTCGTCCACCCGATCCCTAAAAAAGGCGACTGCTCAGACCCGTCCAACTACCGGCCTATCACCATCACCTCCTTGTTCTCCAAAACAATGGAGTCTATTGTAAACTGCCAGCTCATGAGGTACCTTGAGGATCACCAGCTGATAAGTGACCGCCAATACGGTTTTCGCCGTGGTCGGTCAGCTGGTGATCTTCTGGTCTACCTAACTCATAGATGGGCGGAGGCAGTAGAGTCCAAGGGGGAGGCATTGGCCGTTAGTTTGGACATTGCGAAGGCCTTCGATCGGGTTTGGCACAAAGCGCTTCTTTCGAAGCTCCCTTCCTATGGGCTTCCCGACAAATTGTGCGATTGGATCACCAGCTTTCTTGCAGATCGGAGCATCAAGGTCGTTGTAGACGGTGCAAGCTCCGATTGCAAGCCTATTAATGCTGGTGCTCCACAAGGCTGTGTGCTATCGCCAACGCTGTTTCTTCTGCATATAAATGATATGTTGCATAGGTACCTTGAGGATCACCAACTGATAAGTGATCGCCAATACGGTTTTCGCCGTGGTCGGTCAGCTGGTGATCTTCTGGTCTACGTAACTCATAGATGGGCGGAGGCAGTAGAGTCCAAGGGGGAGGCATTGGCCGTTAGTTTGGACATTGCGAAGGCCTTCGATCGGGTTTGGCACATAGCGCTTCTTTCGAAGCTCCCTTCCTATGGGCTTCCCGAGAAATTGTGCGATTGGATCACCAGCTTTCTTGCAGATCGGAGCATCAAGGTCTTTGTAGACGGTGCAAGCTCCGATTGCAAGCCTATTAATGCTGGTGTTCCACAAGGCTGCGTGCTATCGCCAACGCTGTTTCTTCTGCATATAAATGATATGTTGCAAACCCGTAACATTCATTGCTATGCAGATGACAGCACTGGTGATGCTCTTTACACCGGCCGAGCCAATATTTTTTGGGAAAACGTCTCCGAGTTCCGGGACAAACTTGTGTCTGAAGTCGAGTCTTTGCTGAACAGAGTCTCGGATTGGGGGCGACTAAATCTATTCCAGTTTAACTCCCAGAAGACACAAGTTTGCGCGTTAACCGCTAAAAAGATTTTTTTTAGCGTATCTCCTCAGTTTGTCATATCTCCTCAGTTTCAAGGCGCTCCCCTTATTGCCTCAGCCAGTATCGGAATCCTCGGCGTTGACATATCGAGTGACGTGCAGTTTCGTGGTCACTTGGAAGAGAAGGCCAAATTGGCCTCTAAAAAGCTTGGCGTGCTCAGCAGAGCGGGACAGTATTTCATGCCGGAACACCGCCTGCGACTTTACAAGGCGCAGGTTCGGCCGCACATGGAATACTGTTCCCATCTCTGGGCTTGGGCTCTAAACTACCAGCTCCTTCCACTTGACCGCATCCAGCGCAGAGCGTCTCGAATCGTCGACGACCGAGTGCTTTCCGATCGGCTCGATTCATTGGCACTGCGAAGAGATGTTGCATCTCTTTGCATTTTATTTCGCATATACCATGGAGAGTGCTCTGAGGAATTGTTCGGATTACTCCCAGCCGCCAAATTTCGTGAACGCACTACGCGGCAAACGTCCCGATACCATCCACACCATCTGGATGCTTGGCGGTCCACCACAGTACGTTTCAAAAGGAGTTTTCTTCCGCATACAACCTTTCTGTGGAATGGTTTACCACCGGCGATTTTTCCGGACCGATACGACCTGGGGACCTTCAAGAAAAGAGCTTACTCCTTTCCGAAGGGCCTGCAATGCACCTGCAATTCCCCTGGTGTTTCGGTTGATCATGGGCGGCGGTAGTCACTTAACATCATTTGAGCCGCATGCTCGTTTGCCCCCTCTTCTATAAAAAAAAACATAGGATTTAACTGCATCTCCCCATACAGAAATACAGTATGTGAATATGGATTGACAAAGGGCGAAATATACGGCGCGTATAATTTTATATTCAGCAATTTGGCGAAGTATTCTAAAGACGTATATGAGTTTTAAGTGCACGAGCCGTAAGCTCAATATGAGGCCTAAAAGATAGGTTCTGGTCAATCATTATTCCCAGGTATCTAATTTTGTCAACAGTTTCTAATCCGGTACAACTACATGCATTCGTTAGCAAGTTCCCACGTAGCCACTTAAGAACTCTATTTAATCCAGATTGTGCACAAGCAAACGTATCTTTCCAATTATCGCTGCTGAAAACCAAAGCTGTATCATCCGCAAAGGACAAAATTCTCCCATTAGATACCTTTATAGAACACAGATCATTGATGTAAACCAAAAATAAAGTCGGACCCAGTATACCGCATTGAGGTAATCCGTACGTTTTCTACCTATGAGATAACTTTTAAACAGATCTAGCTGTAAATTCCTGACACCAAGCCCCCAAGTTTATTTATCAAAAGTGGGACAGAGACAGTGTCAAACGCCTTACTAACGCCTTAGCTAAGTCGAGGAATATCGCAAGACACTTTTTGCCGTCATCCATCCCCCGAACTATATGAGCTCGTGAACCGCATCATCTGTAGACCTACCAGCACGAAAACCATATTGTTGCTCTGAAAGAAGCTTGTTTGTTTCAAGGTAGTTCACAAGTCTTTTGTTAATAACACGTTCCAGAATTTTTGATAGAGATGTTAAAATTAATATGGGTCGCTAGTTTGAGACAATGCCTCTATCACCACTTTTGAAAATGGGACGGATAATACTTCTCTTAAAAGCGCGAGGAAAGATGCCAGTAGAAAGGCAGATGTTGCGTAGGTATGTTATCGGGGGAACAAGTATATCTCTGTAGGTCTTTAGCAAGTCACCTGATATACCGTCCCATCCTCATGTAATGAATAATGTTGCACAATTGTTTTTTAATGACATAATGAGATTATGTACCTCCTCGTAATCAGTATCTAGCATAACAAATGATTTATTTGTAGTTTGATTTATATCAGGTTTATTGTAATTACTTAGCAAAATTTTGTTAGCTAATTTCACACCGACGTTAGTATAATATTTATTAACTTCATTAACAGATTCTACCGGAGTGGAAAGGTGTCCCAGCAAATCATTTGCCTCTAAACTATGCTTATTGAGATGTGTTGCACTTTTTATTACTTCCCATATTTTTTTACTGTTATTGCCGGCTTTTTGAAGTTCACTGCTTTGATACTGTATTTTAAGTTTTTTAAGAATATCATTACAGAAATTGCGATATCTACGATATGTTATTTTTAGGGTTTCATTATCGGGTGTTAGTTTATGTTTCTTATGTAGTTTATCACAATTTCTCATGCATCTTAAGATGCCAGTTATCCATGGCTTGAATGTGGCTTTACGATGGGACAATCTTATATTTTTAGTGTTGTTTTCCAGTGCTTTTGATAAAGTTTCTACTAAGAAATTTGCTACTTCTTCAGGATTATTATTGTCATATATTTGGCTAAAATTTGCGTCTAATAAAAACTGCTTAAGACCAACGTGATCAATGTTTCGAATAAATCTGTTAAAATAGCATTTGGGCTGTTTGATTTTAAGACTTAGGCTTACAGCTTCATGATCAGTTAAACAGGTCTGTATAACAAATGATTTAGCGGGCTGACGTGTTTTGAGTAATAAATGATCAATACATGTGAACGTTCGAGTTGACGACGTAAAAGCTGGAAGAAGTCCATGGGATGCTGTTAAATTTAAATATTGTTCGGCTTGCTGGTTGGTTGGTTGGTTATCAGTGGAGATATCTATATTAATATCGCCCATTAGAACGATATTTTTGAAGCATTTTAGTTCAGTGAGAAGTTGGTTCAAGGGTGAAAAAAAATTTGTTGCATCGTTTTTAAAGCAGTATGGACGATAAATCCCTATCACTACTGTATGTGTTCCAAATTTAATTATCAAGCAGTTAGCTTCTTGAAAAGTAGGCTCTTCAACGGTGCATTTCAATTTATCTTTAATATAGATCAGCACTCCGTCGTTCTGATTGTAAGTTTTTTTCGTGGCATGAGAAGAATACGATTCTAATAAAGGTATTGAACCAGAGCAGGACAGCCAACATTCAGTTAGGATAATTAGATCAAAATCTACATGCATCCTTTTTATAAGCACAGTTAAACCATCAAAGTTTCGTTTTATGCTTCGAATATTTTGACATAGAATATTTGTGTAGTTATTTTGGTTGACTTATTATAGGGCATACATCCTCAGTATTGCAAATATAAAATTCTAAATTTGTAATATCATCTAGATTATTTGATATTTCATTTATGTTAGCGCCTTTTATGTATATTTATTAATAGGTGACGAAATGATTGCAACCACGTCATACTATTAGTATTAAGATGGCCTAATATTTTATACCGCATCTTATTATTAAGGTTATGATAAACTATTTTAAATCCTAACGTATAAATAATCAAATGGTAACAATTTATTTTATACAATATTATTTTTTTACAGTTCTTGACAATGTAAAAACTGTGAGACTTAATATAATTTGTGTTGTATAGTCTTTGTTTGGTAAGAAAGTGAGTAAATTGTGATTGTTGATTAAGTTTGATATTAAGTAAACAAGTTGTGGTATGCATTAAATGATTGTGAGTTATGTGTGGAAGTGTATATGAAATAGTGTAGGTTATGTTTATTAAAAAAGAGGATAGCTTAGTGTATATTTTCTTAAACTTAACTAATTTAACATAAGAGTGTTCTAGGATAACTAATATTATAAAACATCTTACGTCTAGTCACTTAGTATTTCTAAATTCGGAGAGCTGGGATTCGTTTCTTATGAGAATGTGTGGATCTCCTTCTTTACGGCACAAATACACATTTTCGTTTGACGTCCAACAATTTAAATAACCCAAAATTTTTGGCTATATCTCTTGCAAGAAAGTATAGTCTTTTAGATTTTATTGTCAGATGTTCACTTACATAAATTGATGATTTAACATTCATAATTCCCATATGACTACAGTTAAGTAAGTCTTTAGGATTGTCTTTAATATAGCTGTTTACTGCATCAATTACCTTACTTTTAAGTAGACTACTCCCTAACTCAGCTACGATTGTGGAGGATGTTGCATCAGCCTTGCTTGGCAGACGATAAACATCACGAAGATTATTTTGTTCCATAAATACATTTAAGTTCGTGATTAGGGTGTGTGGGCATATTTAAATAAAGTCTCCCTATTTTCACCTCTTATTTTCGGAACATTACGTATCTCAATACTCGTCTTGCGAATGTATTTCTCCAAGGCGTCGAATTTGGTATTAATTGTGTTTATTTGTGACTCAAGAGCTTTGCGATCCTTTTCTATGTTGGAGACATCTTTTTGCAGGTTATCTATTCTGTCAGAGACGAAATTTATGGACTTTTCTATTTCCGAATTGGTTTGTTGTATGATTACATTTTGATTTGTGACAAGTGCTAGTTTTTTTTCTATATTGTCTAATCTTACATTTTGATTATTAACAAAGGTTTCCAGCATTGTCTTGAGCTCGTTAATAGCATCCGTAGAGACTATTTAAGTTTCGTTATCAGCGTCGCTAGTTCGGTGCAGTTTATTTTCTCGTTGTGTGTGTTGAAAGTAAGTACAATAGAAGTGAAGCGACGGGCCCGTGCTTGTGTTAGGCATCGCGGGAATCATGTTGAACAGCAATAAATAAATAATTTGAATTAAAATGTTGTTTTATTAGTCTACATGACTTACCAGGTCGTCACTCCATCTAGTGGGGGGTCGCCCTACACTACGCCTACCGGTACGAGGCTGCCACTCGAGAACCTTTCTTCCCCATCGGTTATCGGTTCTTCGAGCTATATGGCCGGCCCATTGCCACTTCAGCTTACTAATCCGTTGGCCTATGTCGGTCAATCTGGTTTTACTGCGGATATCCTCATTTCTGAGTCTATCACGCAGAGAAACTCCGAGCATAGCCCTCTCCATAGCTCGCTGAGCGACCTTGAGCGTCCTCATACGGCCAGCAGTGAAGGACCACGTCTCTGATCCGTAAGTCATCACTGGCAACACGCACTGGTTGTACACTTTAGTTTTCAGATTGAGGTATACCTGACGAGAAGATGTGTCGTAATTTCCCGAACGCTGCCCAGCCGAGTTGAATCCGTCGATTGATCTCTCGGTCGAAGTTGGACTTACCTAGTCGGACTATTTGTCCCAGGTAAACGTACTCGTCAACAACTTCGAGCATAGTGCTCCCCACAATTACCGGCATAGGTGTGACATGGACATTGAACATAATCTTTGTTTTGTCCATGTTCATTTTAAGACCGTTCCGTTGGGAGACACCATTGAGGTCATTGACCATAGTGCTAAGGTCCTCCAGCGATTCTGCCATAAGAACTATATCGTCGGCAAATCGAAGGTGAGTGATGTACTCGCCATTGATGTTAATACCGTATCCTTTCCAGTAGCTTGAAAACGTCTTCCAACGCAGCGGTGAAGAGTTTCGGGGATATAACGTCACCCTGTCTTACACCTCTCTGCAGTTGGATAGGTTTCGGATAGCCATCGTAGCCCTACTGTACAAACACTTCAGCACTTCGATATACCGACAGTCAACTTGGCACCGCTGAAGGGACTGTAGCACCGCCCAAATTTCGACGGAATCAAAGGCTTTCTCATAGTCCACATACGCCAGGCAAAGTGGCAGATTGTACTCTTCGGTCTTCTGTACAATCTGCCGCAGGGTATGTATGTGGCCTATGGTACTGAAGCCTTTTCGGAAACCGGCTTGTTCGGGAGGCTGGAAGTCGTCGAGTCTGCGTTCGAGACGATTCGTAATGACTCTCGAAAACAGCACGTAGACGCGGCTCAGAAGGGAAATCGGTATGTAGTTTTTCAAGAGAGCGTTGTCGCCTTTCTTAAAGAACAAGACCACCGCACTTCTGCTCCACGCCTCCAGAGTAGTGCCACCATGGAGGACGGAATTGAAGAGCTTCTGAAGGACTTCAAGTACCGGTGTTCCACCCGCTTTCAGAAGCTCTGCTGTAATTCCATCCTCGCCTGGGGCCCTGCCGTTTTTAAGGTGCTGGAGAGCCATTCTAATCTCGCTCAGACTGACGTCCGGGATATCATCGGAATAGTGTCGGATAAGACTTGCTCTTGTATCGTTACTCACACTTGCGTGTGGCTCCAACGATGATGTGGAGCCCTGGTTCCGCTCGATCGCTTCTTTAATACGAGCAGTATTAAAGTTGCGTAAGTCTTGCCGCATGCATTTGGAGATCTGTCTGTTCAGTTGCCTGTATGCTGTCAAATCTGTTGACGATTGCAGCCTCATCTCCCGTCTAACAGCCATGAGATTAAGAGTTTGATCGGAGAGTTTTTGTGTTCTTCTGCGGCGGGTCTTGCAGAACTTAGCTCCGACCGCATGGACAGTTTCCACGAGCTTGTCATTCATATCGTCCACTGCATTCGATGGATGCAGGTGGCTCAGGACCGTGCTTTGTGGCATTACTTGGGGGGAGGCCTATGTTCAGCAGTGGACTTGTGAAGGGCTGTAATGATGATGATGATGATTATTAGTCTGCCTAAAAATTTAAACTTTCTTCCTCAATGTGGTTTGTAGGTCCCAATTTTAATAATTTGTAGCATATCTGCGGAAATGATACCTCAAATGATAGAGTAATAACCAAGCATGTTTTCAAAAACGTTAGAACAAAAAATCACCATCCATTTTGTTAACTTGCGTCAAAAATCTGCTACTATAAATCTTTGAAAATTTTCGTAGTGTAATTATTTGCCATGCATTTTTTACACATTACTTTAATAAAAAATATTAAAAAACATTTATCAATAAAACTGGCTCGTACTAGCAATTAACTGTCAAATTTTTGGTTTATCACCAAAAACAAAAAATCGTTAAAAAAGTCTGACTTCGTGTAACATAACTATGGCCTGTGTTCCAAAATAGAACCGAGTATACTTACTGGCGAATGCAAATGACGTCATTAATTAAGCCATATTGTACTGGCGTGCCGCCGCCATATTGTGTCGGATATCCCGTCATATTATAACAATTTTTAATGGTGTGTACACTTAATGAAGCATGCCATTATTTGTTCTTATTTATTCAAATACAAAAATGGCAGAGCTTAAACAGTTAAATCTGTACGATGAAGAGAATGAGAAATCTTACTCATTCTTTGTTACTGAGGAAGAGTAGTTAAGAGCATGTATGATGTCATATCATTTAAAACGGATCACCAGTATGGCGTCGATTTGTGACGTCATTTGCATTGGCCAGTATACTGGGTTCTATTTCAGAACACAGGCATGGCTTAAATGGATCTAAATGGCTTAGACTACCTTCCCCTTACAGCTTTGCACCCATCTTCCAATCAACTTGTACACTACAGCTTTAAACAGTTATGTTTGAAATTTGTAGCCACTGATGATTAATATGAATATATAATGTGATGATTAATGAAATAATTACTCAATAATGTAAACGGAAGTATCAACCATACTTGGATTTTTTGTCCATATTTTGTATTTTATTTTTTTCTTAGTGACAGAGGTGCCCCACTAATACCTGCGGGGTTAACCATTACTTCCGAACGTCCTGTATACAATGCTTCACCACTAACTTATGAGAAATGTATTGAGAAATAAAGGTTTTCTTTTAATTTTTTTAATTATTAATTGAATACATGTTCTTTAATAAAATAACACTTTGCTAAAGCTCGTAAATTCATCGCGCGGATACTAAATCCCACTGCATTTAACCATAAATTAGCTACAGAACCCTATTTAAAAAGAATTGTACGATTCTTGTGAAATTTAAGTTATTAGAAATGGAATTACTTTACGGATTCAATTGCGTTTAATTTTACTTTTTAATTCGATTCGAAACGACGTTCGAATTAAAAAGTTAAAATCAAACCCGATAAAATCCTTCTATTTAGTTTCATTTAATGTGTAGTATTCGCGTAAATATGAGAAATCACTGTGGGCGTGGACAGGCGGCGATGAGCACGCTGGGGCTGAGCGCGTCGCAGTGCGGCGCCGTGCTGCGAGTGCTGGCGTTCTTGCTGAAGCTGGGCAACCTGCAGTTTGAGCCGCAGCACAACATCGACGGCTCCATCGGCACGCGGCTGCAGCGCGAGTACGGTGCGTACCACTCACATACACTCACGTACTTCCTGCTGAAGCTGGGCAACCTGCAGTTTGCGCCGCAGCACAACATCGACGGCTCCATCGGTACGCGGCTGCAGCGCGAGTACGGTGCGTACCGCTCATATACACTCACGTACTTCCTGCTGAAGCTGGTCAACCTGCAGTTTGAGCCGCAGCACAACATCAACGGCTCCATCGGCAAGCGGAAGCGGCTGCAGCGCGAGTACGGTGCGTACCGCTCACATACACTCACGTACTTCCTGCTGAAGCTGGGCAACCTGCAGTTTGAGCCGCAGCACAACATTGACGGCTCCATCGGCACGCGGTTGCAGCGTGAGTACGGTGCGTATCACTCACATACACTCACGTACTTCCTGCTGAAGCTGGGCAACCTGCAGTTTGAGCCGCAGCACAACATCAACGGCTCCATCGGCAAGCGGCTGCAGCGCGAGTACGGTGCGTACCGCTCACATACACTCAGTATCCTGCTGAAGCTGGGCAACCTGCAGTTTGAGCCGCAGCACAACATCGACGGCTCCATCGGCAAGCGGCTGCAGCGCGAGTACGGTGCGTACAACTCACATACACTTCCTGCTGAAGCTGGGCAACCTGCAGATTGAGCCGCAGCACAACATCGACGGCTCCATCCGCAAGCGGCTGCAGTGCGAGTACGGTGCGTACAACTCACATACACTTCCTGCTGAAGCTGGGCAACCTGCAGTTTGAGCCGCAGCACAACATCGACGGCTCCATCGGCAAGCGGCTGCAGTGCGAGTACGGTGCGTACAACTCACATACACTTCCTGCTGAAGCTGGGCAACCTGCAGTTTGAGCCGCAGCACAACATCGACGACTCCATCGGCAAGCGGCTGCAGCGCGAGTACGGTGCGTACAACTCACATACACTTCCTGCTGAAGCTGGGCAACCTGCAGTTTGAGCCGCAGCACAACATCGACGGCTCCATCGGCAAGCGGCTGCAGCGCGAGTACGGTGCGTACAACTCACATACACTTCCTGCTGAAGCTGGGCAACCTGCAGTTTGAGCCGCAGCACAACATCGACGGCTCCATCGGCAAGCGGCTGCAGTGCGAGTACGGTGCGTACAACTCACATACACTTCCTGCTGAAGCTGGGCAACCTGCAGTTTGAGCCGCAGCACAACATCGACGACTCCATCGGCACGCGGCTCCAGCGCGAGTACGGTGCGTACCGCTCACATACACTCACGTACTTCCTGCTGAAGCTGGGCAACCTGCAGTTTGAGCCGCAGCACAACATTGACGGCTCCATCGGCACGCGGATGCAGCGTGAGTACGGTGCGTAGAACTCACATACACTCGACTTCTTGCTGAAGCTGGGCAACCTGCAGTTTGAGCCGCAGCACAACATCGACGGCTCCATCGGCAAGCGGCTGCAGCGCGAGTACGGTGCGTACAACTCACATACACTTCCTGCTGAAGCTGGGCAACCTGCAGTTTGAGCCGCAGCACAACATCGACGGCTCCATCCGCAAGCGGCTGCAGTGCGAGTACGGTGCGTACAACTCACATACACTTCCTGCTGAAGCTGGGCAACCTGCAGTTTGAGCCGCAGCACAACATCGACGGCTCCATCGGCAAGCGGCTGCAGCGCGAGTACGGTGCTTACAACTCACATACACTTCCTGCTGAAGCTGGGCAACCTGCAGTTTGAGCCGCAGCACAACATCGACGGCTCCATCGGCAAGCGGCTGCAGCGCGAGTACGGTGCGTACAACTCACATACACTTCCTGCTGAAGCTGGGCAACCTGCAGTTTGAGCCGCAGCACAACATCGACGGCTCCATCGGCAAGCGGCTGCAGCGCGAGTACGGTGCGTACCGCTCACATACACTAGTACTTCCTGCTGAAGCTGGGCAACCTGCAGTTTGAGCCGCAGCACAACATCGACGGCTCCATCGGCACGCGGCTGCAGCGTGAGTACGGTGCTTACAACTCACATACACTCTCGTACTTCTTGCTGAAGCTGGGCAACCTGCAGTTTGAGCCGCAGCACAACATCGACGGCTCCATCGGCAAGCGGCTGCAGCGCGAGTACGGTGCGTACAACTCACATACACTTCCTGCTGAAGCTGGGCAACCTGCAGTTTGAGCCGCAGCACAACATCGACGGCTCCATCGGCAAGCGGCTGCAGCGCGAGTACGGTGCTTACAACTCACATACACTTCCTGCTGAAGCTGGGCAACCTGCAGTTTGAGCCGCAGCACAACATCGACGGCTCCATCGGCAAGCGGCTGCAGCGCGAGTACGGTGCGTACAACTCACATACACTTCCTGCCGAAGCTGGGCAACCTGCAGTTTGAGCCGCAGCACAACATCGACGGCTCCATCGGCAAGCGGCTGCAGCGCGAGTACGGTTCGTATCACTCACATACACTCACGTACTTGCTGCCGAAGCTGGGCGTCACATACACTCCCTTCTGTCTCAAAATTGATCGTTATTGTTGTGGATTTAGATCTAAAGCTAATATTTACTTGTACAGGACAATTTTCATTGTCATGTAAATGTAAGTGGTGTAGTCGCATGTAGCGTGCGGGGCGCGCGTAATGTACGTGGCGTGCGGGGCGCGCGTAACAAGCGTGCCGTGTGTGTTGTAAATTTATCTCGAAATTATTTAAATTTAAATGAAATCAATATTGATCAATATAGACTTTTATAAAAATCACTGAAAACAAATGCAAAATATCTCCAAAATCATATATCTAATATGCAAATCACCAGCAACGCCAACTTATCTAGTTAATTGCTACTTCCTTGCTCAACACATACCTGCTGCTATAAGTTGGTTACCGTACTTATATAAAATCATAGTAGCCAACCGAAAGGCATTCGACAGATAGTCAATACGCTTCCTTACAAAAATAAAAAATAAACCTACAGTTATACGTGTTTATACAGGGTTATTTTTTAAAGAGAAGCCGAATTTCATAGTTAAATTCAAATATTTAAATAATGATACTCGTATACGTATGTGCCGTGTAGTGGCGATTGAGAATATCCACTACCCCATATCTTCCTGTGGGTGTCGTAAGAGGCGACAGAGGGAGACAGGCAGGAGATGGGCAGCAGCATTTTCCTGATAACAGCAACTGTACCACAAAAAAAAACTGCGGTTGCCAACCCGCTCGCCAAGCGTGGCAACTATGGCAATATACCCCCCATGAACAATTACACAAATAGACGGCCCCCAGTCCCCGGCGGCCCCGCTATTCCTGGCTACGGTGGCGACCATGGTAACGGCGGGGCAGGGGGTGCTAAGAATCTCCGGTGGAGGTTCGGTTGCCACCTACGACGACTCGACCTGGCAACATTTAACGCACGCACACTGAGGACTGATGAGAAGATCCTGGAGCTGGAAGAAGAGATAGACAAGTTGCGCTGGAGTATTATAGGATTATCCGAGGTCCGAAGAGAGGGGGAGGACACGGTGATTCTCGAATCCGGCAACTTGTTCTATCACCGGGAGGGCGACCATCTGTCCCAAGGAGGTGTCGGATTTATCGTCCACAAGTCACTCGTCAACAACGTTGTACAGATTGAGAGTGTGTCGACGAGGGTCGCGTACCTGATACTCAGAATCACCAAACGGTATTCGCTGAAGGTCATACAGGTTTACGCACCAACGTCGGCACATTCCGATGAGGAGGTGGAGGAAATGTATGAGGATATTTCCAAAGCCATACATTCCTCCAAAACCCACTACACGGTGTTGATGGGAGACTTCAACGCAAAACTAGGCACAAGAGAAAACGGTGAGCTGAAGTTAGGGAAATTTGGAGTAGGGCAACGGAACCGAAGGGGCCAGCAGCTGGCCGACTTTATGGAGAAAGAGGGACTCTTTATGATGAACTCTTTCTTCCAGAAGCGGCCCCACAGGAAGTGGACCTGGTCGAGCCCCGACGGTTCGACAAAAAATGAGATTGACTTCATTATGACGACCAGACGCCAACTGTTCAGTGATGTCTCAGTGATCGCAAGGGTGAAAACTAGCAGCGATCACCGAATGGTTAGAGGCACACTGAACCTTAACGTTAAGTTGGAGAGGTCTCGTTAATGAAGTCAACGCTCCGTCCCCCCTCCTGCTCTGATCCAAAATCCCGAAAACTTTCAGCTCGAGTTACACAACCGCTTTCAGTGCCTACAAGATTGCAATGCAGTGGACGATATGAATGACAAGCTCGTGGAAACTGTCCATGCGGTCGGAGCTAAGTTCTGCAAGACCCGCCGCAGAAGAACACAAAAACTCTCCGATCACACTCTTAATCTCATGGCTGTTAGACGGGAGATGAGGCTGCAATCGTCAACAGATTTGACAGCGTACAGGCAACTGAACAGACAGATCTCCAAATGCATGCGGCGAGACTTACGCAACTTTAATACTGCTCGTATTAAAGAAGCGATCGAGCGGAACCAGGGCTCCAAAGTCTTTGCCAGAGATCTGTCTGCCAGAAAGAGCCAACTGTCAAGGCTGAAGACTGAGTGTGGCAGCATCGTTTCCGGGACACCTGAGATTTTGAGTGAGATTGAGAGGTTCTATGGGCAGCTGTACACATCATCGTTGGAGCCACACGCAAGTGTGAGTAACGATCCAAGAGCAAGTCTTATCCGACACTATTCCGATGATATCCCGGACGTCAGTCTAAGCGAGATTAGAATGGCTCTCCAGCACCTTAAAAACGGCAGGGCCCCAGGCGAGGATGGAATTACAGCGGAGCTTCTGAAAGCGGGTGGAACACCGGTACTTGAAGTCCTTCAGAAGCTCTTCAATTCCGTCCTCCATGGTGGCACTACTCCAGAGGCGTGGAGCAGAAGTGCGGTGGTCTTGTTCTTTAAGAAAGGCGACAACGCTCTCTTGAAGAACTACAGACCGATTTCCCTTCTGAGCCGCGTCTACGTGCTGTTTTCGAGAGTCATTACGAATCGTCTCGCACGCAGACTCGACGACTTCCAGCCTCCCGAACAAGCCGGTTTCCGAAAAGGCTTCAGTACCATAGACCACATACATACCCTGCGGCAGATTGTACAGAAGACTGAAGAGTACAATTTGCCACTTTGCCTGGCGTATGTGGACTATGAGAAAGCCTTTGATTCCGTCGAAATTTGGGCGGTGCTGCAGTCCCTTCAGCGGTGCCAAGTTGATTGTCGGTATATCGAAGTGCTGAAGTGTTTGTACAGTAGGGCTACGATGGCTATCCGAGTACAGAACCAGAGCTCGAAACCTATCCAACTGCAGAGAGGTGTAAGACAGGGTGACGTTATATCCCCGAAACTCTTCACCGCTGCTTTGGAAGACGTTTTCAAGCTACTGGACTGGAAAGGATACGGCATTAACATCAATGGCGAGTACATCACTCACCTTCGATTTGCCGACGATATAGTCCTTATGGCAGAATCGCTGGAGGACTTAAGCACTATGCTCAATGACCTCAATAGTGCCTCCCAACGGATAGGTCTTAAGATGAACATGGACAAAACAAAGATTATGTTTAATGTCCATGTCACACCTATGCCGGTAGTTGTTGGAAGCACTATGCTCGAAGTTGTTGACGAGTACGTTTACCTGGGACAAATATTCCGACTAGGTAAGTCCAACTTCGACCGAGAGGTCAATCGACGGATTCAACTCGGCTGGGCAGCGTTCGGGAAATTACGACATATCTTCTCGTCAGGTATACCTCAATCTCTGAAAACTAAAGTGTACAACCAGTGCGTGTTGCCAGTGATGACTTACGGATCAGAGACGTGGTCCTTCACTGCTGGCCGTATGAGGACGCTCAAGGTCGCTCAGCGAGCTATGGAGAGGGCTATGCTCGGAGTTTCTCTGCGTGATAGACTCAGAAATGAGGATATCCGCAGTAAAACCAGATTGACCGACATAGCCCAACGGATTAGTAAGCTGAAGTGGCAATGGGCCGGCCATATAGCTCGAAGAACCGATGACCGATGGGGAAGAAAGGTTCTCGAGTGGCAGCCTCGTACCGGTAGGCGTAGTGTAGGGCGACCCCCCACTGGATGGAGTGACGACCTGGTAAGATATGCAGGAAGTCGATGGATGCAGGTGGCTCAGGACCGTGCTTTGTGGCATTACTTGGGGGAGGCCTATGTTCAGCAGTGGACTTGTGAAGGGCTGTGATGATGATGATGATGATGACTCGTATACCATTATTGCCGTTTTTGAAAGTACTCGTAAATAAGACTCTTTTTTGGTATCATCCCAAATTGAATGTGATTTATCTATAATGATCGACCTATACGAATATGCGTGAGTAGTAAAATAGTAGGCGTTAGATATTCATTAATGACAATCAGTTAAAATCATGCATCACCACGTATTCTGAACATAAAACACAAAAAGGACAATGTTTGATATTTTTTAAAGTAATTTTTTTCACTAACACGCCTATATTACTTATTCTGAACCTTCTTTACAAATTTGGCCGTATATTGCAAAATAAGCCTGTATATAATATGCATGAACCTATTTACTATTTCATTTACAGAGCTGCGCGAGGCGTGCGCGCTGGTGGGCGTGCAGGCGGACGCGCTCGCCGCCGCACTGGGCGCCGCTCCTAGCGAGCTCTCCGCCGACTCGCTCCCGCCACCTGGTACGTCACAACACCCACACTCACACACACCCACCACACTTACATCGCCGCAGCATTGGGCGCTGCTCCTGCTGCGCTGCTTGGAAGCAGTGGTGCTGGGATTAGTGGTGACGGGATTAGTGCACGTAATTGAGAGATGGCGGGAGGTGCTCTTCAAACTAGGTCAGACACGTAATTTTAGTTTATTGAGCGGATGGTTGCAAAGTAACTTTTAATATCTTTAGAAGATCAACAAAATAACTATATAAAAATTTACTGAATACATATATAGAAGTAGCGCAGTTTTAAGACCTTACCGGTTAAGGCCTTTGATGTCCTGCAATGTCGCCGCCCTCGTAGGTATTTACGTAGCTGCGTTTGTGCTAGCGGTTGGCTCTAAAATGAAAATAAAATGATTATGGATATTATAATACTCATTATCGTTACTTATTCATACTTATTAGTTAAAAACTTTTATTTAACAAGATCATTTTTGTTACTACAAGAAATAACACATTTACAACCCGTGCGGTTAAAGAGTGGGATTAAAAATGGCGACGGCTGTATTCACCTCCAGCTCGCAGACTGTTGCTATTTATACTAACACGCGCCGGTAAAGACTAAAAAAAAAAATACGTTGCGATGTGCGTTTTTCGTACGTTTTGTAACTTCAGTCACATTTGTTATTGAAATTAATGATAACCAAATGCCATAAACCACAAAAAATCAGGCCAGGTTTGCTTATTTGTGAGCTACGACGCGTTCTTAGTTTTCTTCATAATTTGTTGATATTTAAATTTATTTTTGCAATTGAGAAATACGTAGGTCACTCAATAAGTTTTGAGATGCTCGAAATTTAAAAAAAGTTAAAAGTTCTATTAATTTTCCTGCAACGCTTCCCGCGCTTCAACGATGGATCTTCTCGTGAACATTTGCGCGCTATGATCTATATTGATTTTAAATTTGGTTTAACCGAACAATTAAGTTTAAAACGGTTACAATCAGCATTCGGGGACTCAGCTCCATCACACGCAACAATTTTTAGGCAGTTTTCTAAATTTAAAAGGGGTAAAATTAACCTTAAAGATGACCAAAGAACCGGGGCCCCCACAAACAGCAGTAACGGCACAAAATGACTCCTGAAATGTTGGTGCGAGAAGACCCACGAATCACATATACGGATGTCGAAAATATTGTAGGCATTAGTTAGGGGAGCAATCATACCATCCTACATCAACATCTTGGAGTGAGAAAGCTTTGTTGTTGATGGATCCCTCGTTTGCGCTCCGTGCCATAAAATGTGTCTTTGTTTTAAAAACGGGGCATCTAGGCGTGTTTAAGAAATCGTTACTGGTGAAGAGACATGGATCTATCAATATGATCCGGAAAATAAAAGGCAGGCATCGGTATGGGTCTACTCAGAAGGACAGTTGCCGACAAAACTGCAAAGAGCTCGCAACGTCGGCAAAGAAATGGTGGCTATCTTTTTTCGCGGAGCGGACGTCAGTGCTGGCAAATTGTAGGTCAGTCAACTCTGAATGGTATACTACAAGATCGGGCTTCGGGGAATCATGCTGCATCACGATAACGCCTCTTCACATACCTCCCTTAGAACAATAGCATTTATTGAGGAATCTGGTGTTGAAACTCTAAGTCACCCATCTAACAGCCCTAACTTAGCTCCTTGTGATTTCTTTTTGTTTCCAAGAGTCAAAGAAACATCAAAAGGCAAGTTTTTTTTCAAGCGCCGAAGAATCCGCGGCTGCCTACGAAGAAGCGATTTCCGACCTCTCAGATCAAGACTGGCAAAAGTGTTTTCAGAGTTGGTTTAGGCGAATGGAACTTTGTATAAAGCATGATGGAGAACATTTTGAAAAGATGTAAAATAAATATTAATAGTATCTAGAATACTTTTTGTATATCTCAAAACTTATCGAGTGTCCTACGTAACTTAACTACTTTTAAATAAAAGTTTATACTTTTATTTAAAATTAATCTTTGGAATGGCTGAAGCGATTGCAATAAAAGTTCACGAACAAAGAGAGTGTAACACCAGCAGTGACATAGACTAACTTTTATCCGAAAAATTTAGAGATTTTATTAAAATAGGAATATTGATAAGATAAAAAATGTATTATCATGATTATCTTAAGTCGAAATAACGCCACATTATTAGAAACCACCAAGGCAAAGCCAGAGCGAGTGGCTAGTAACAAATTTAATGTTAAATTAATGTACTTACTTGCGTACTGTACTTGCGATTTTCAGTTATTTTCCGGTAAGTAAAAAATTTCCAACTAACCGAATAATATAACATTATAACGGTATATCGTTATTAGCGGGTTTTTGCTATTGGTACTGTAGATGTTGACGGTACGGGCTCTATGAGCCGCCATATTTATTCGGGTTCTATGAGCCGCCATTCTTTATCCATACGGGCTATACAAGATGTTTTCAGTTTTCGATTCTTAAATTTAATTATGTAATGTGTTCTTTTTTATACTAGAGGGGGCAAACGAGCATACGGCTCACCTGATGGTAAGTGATTACCGCCGTCCATAAACAACTGCATCATCAGGGGAATTGCAGATGCGTTGCCGGCCTTTTAAAAAGGAGTAGGCTCTTTTCTTGAAGGTCCCTAAGTCGTATCCATCCGGAAAAATCACTGGTGTATTCAATTCCACAAGGAAGTTGTGTAAGGAAGAATTTTTTTTTTACATCGCACAGTGGTGGATCATTCAGATGGTATAGATGGTATCGCAAGTTTTGTCGCGATGTGCGATGGTGAAATTGTGCGCTTGGAATTAGTGCGAACAGTTCCTCAGAGCACTTGCCGTGGTAAATACGATAAAATGCGCAAAGAGATGCAACATCTCTTCGCAGTGCCAGTGAGCCTAGCCGATCGGAAATAACTTGGTCGTGGACGATTCGAACGGCTATGCGCTGGATGTGATCAAATGGAAGGAGCTAGCACTGGGGAGCCCCAGCCCAGAGATGTGAACAGATTTTCATGTGCGGCTAAACCTGCACCTTGTAAAGCTAATTTGGCCTTACCCTCCTAGTAACCACGAAACTGCACACTATTCGATATGTCGACGCCGAAGATTCCAATACTGGCTGAGGCAACAAGGGGAATGCCTTGAAACTGAGAAGATGCGACAAAGGGGATCTTTTTAGCGATAAACAGTTTGTTCAGCAAAAATTAGACTTCAGACACAAGTTTGTCCCGGTACTCGGAGACGTTTTCCCGAGATATACTGGCACGGCCTGTGTACAGCATCACCAGTGCTGCCGTCTGCACAGCAATGAATGTTACGAGTTTGCAACATACCTTTGATATGTAGAAGAAACAGCGTTAGTGATAGCACGCAGTCTTGTATAGTAGTTAGTTAAAATAATAGTTTTTTATCTTCTCTTCAGTCACAGTGCAAGTGCGCACAAAGTGAAGTGCGTATATTAAGATTTGTGTGAATGTGAACGCGGCAGAGGCGGAGAGCGGGGCGGGCGAATGGGACGCGTGGGAGGAGTGGGGCTCGGAAGCGACGAGCGCGGCGGACACGGAGGTGGGCGCGGAGGCGGGCGCGGACGTGGATGAGGAGGGGGGAGTAGAGGGGAGCGCGGGCTGGTCCAGTGCTCTGCGTGACCGTCTGCTTTGCGCCGTGTACGCGCGACTTTTCACCTGGCTCGTCAACGCCGTCAACGACGCCATCAAGGTTAATCCACCACCATCTTCGATACTATTATTTTTGCTATAATCACGGTTCATTCAGTAGAGGAAATCGATTTTTAAGGTTGATTTTTTAAGAAGTACATCTCGTTAATTTTGCATTTATTTTATGTTCTGTATGAAATATCAAGTTTAAATAGATGGACTTTTCAATTATGGTGGATCCGGATCGAAGGACCAAAAAGGATGTAGGAGCCACAGTTTGCAGTTCCTATTCTTTTTTAGTTTTACTTGTTTAGTTGTGTAAGCCGAGGAAATAACTTACGGCAACACATGACGAAAGGTTTCTAAGTAGGCATTATAAAATTATATACCAACTAAAATAAATAATTAAAAATGCTGCTGCCTTGAAATGAAATCAAACAGAATTAGGTTTTTTTATAGAATAAGGTAACACACGAGCAACAGTCCACCTGATGGTAAGTATGATGTCCCATAGACATTTCCGTTTATCCCCGACTAAGAATCAAAATGCAAATGGTTTGTGTCACCCCTGAGGATTAAGATGAAATTATCATTTTCAGTGAAAAAGGTTTCAAATTCTCTACTCTCACCATACAAACCATAGTAGCATTAAGCTGGTATTTTATGCTGATATTCTGTGAGAGTGTGGTCCTACTTCTAAGGAGCTGATCCATTCGTGCCGTTGCTATATAATAGGTATACCTGTACAACGTAGAAAAACCTATTCCTTAAATCTGAGAATGTACAAACGGAATATTTAATTGCAATATTAAGTGCTGATTCGCCACAATATGGTCGACGGTAAAACAAAATATTCTGAAGAAACTTCAAACTTTTGAACTAAAAAATATAAATTTTTTGGGGTAAATGTAAACTTTAATGTAAAAGATTTTTTGCCCTAAAATCTTATTAGGATTGAGAAGAGGCTTGTGGTGAACTGTGGGACGCATTTGGGCTGTTATTTTAGTTTTCTTAAGTATGGATAACAATGTTCCTTGTCTGATGATTAATTTTGTTAGGTAATAGTGGTTAGAATTTTTAGGTGATTTTTTTCTGCCTAGAAGTCAGTTTGTGTTCGTACCTCTTTTAGACCTATTTTGGTCATTAAGCAGCTGCACGTGTACGACTGTGTTCCGGACAGGATAAATGAGGAGCGATGACGTGTCTGTAGAGATCTTTCTTTAACTTTGGTTGTAGGTTTGTTTTAAAAGTAATAATTGAAAAGCGTGGAAATGTAATATTAAGAGGAGTGAGTTAGAGTGTTGGTGCGATGCAGACTATGTATACTACTAGATTTACAATTCTATCAATATTCTCGCGATAGCGTGTAGCCGGCACTGTATGCAAAGCAGTTTTTTGTTCTTTTTTTGCTCTTGTGTGTGTGCTGTTGTGTGCGATGCATGCGTGCAGTCAGCTGCAGCGGGCGCGCGCAGCTCGCTGGACGTGTTGGACGTGTACGGGCTGGTGCGGCTGCTCATCAACTACGCGGCGGAGCGCGTGCAGGCGCGGTGTCGTGGACGTGTGGTGTGTGTGTGTGCGTCGTGTATGTGTGTATGTGCAGCCGGCTGCAGCGGCCGCGCGCATCTTGCTGGGCGTGCTGGACGAGTACGAGCTGGAGTCGCTGGCGCACAACGGGCTGGTGCGGCTGCTCATCAACTACGCGGCGGAGCGCGTGCAGGCGCGGTGTCGTGGACGTGTGGTGTGTGTGTGTGCGTCGTGTATGTGTGTATGTGCAGCCGGCTGCAGCGGCCGCGCGCATCTTGCTGGGCGTGCTGGACGAGTACGAGATGGAGTCGCTGGCGCACAACGGGCTGGTGCGGCTGCTCATCAACTACGCGGCGGAGCGCGTGCAGGCGCGGTGTCGTGGACGTGTGGTGTGTGTGTGTGCGTCGTGTATGTGTGTATGTGCAGCCGGCTGCAGCGGCCGCGCGCATCTCGCTGGGCGTGCTGGACGAGTACGAGCTGGAGTCGCTGGCGCACAACGGGCTGGTGCGGCTGCTCATCAACTACGCGGCGGAGCGCGTGCAGGCGCGGTGACGTGGACGTGTGGTGTGTGTGTGTGCGTCGTGTATGTGTGTATGTGCAGCCGGCTGCAGCGGGCGCGCGCATCTTGCTGGGCGTGCTGGACGAGTACGAGCTGGAGTCGCTGGCGCACAACGGGCTGGTGCGGCTGCTCATCAACTACGCGGCGGAGCGCGTGCAGGCGCGGTGTCGTGGACGTGTGGTGTGTGTGTGTGCGTCGTGTATGTGTGTATGTGCAGTCGGCTGCAGCAGGCGCGCGCAGCTCGCTGGGCGTGCTGGACGAGTACGAGCTGGAGTCGCTGGCGCACAACGGGCTGGTGCGGCTGCTCATCAACTACGCGGCGGAGCGCGTGCAGGCGCGGTGTCGTGGACGTGTGGTGTGTGTGTGTGCGTCGTGTATGTGTGTATGTGCAGCCGGCTGCAGCGGCCGCGCGCATCTTGCTGGGCGTGCTGGACGAGTACGAGCTGGAGTCGCTGGCGCACAACGGGCTGGTGCGGCTGCTCATCAACTACGCGGCGGAGCGCGTGCATGCGCGGTGACGTGGACGTGTGGTGTGTGTGTGTGCGTCGTGTATGTGTGTATGTGCAGTCGGCTGCAGCAGGCGCGCGCAGCTCGCTGGGCGTGCTGGACGAGTACGAGCTGGAATCGCTGGCGCACAACGGGCTGGTGCGGCTGCTCATCAACTACGCGGCGGAGCGCGTGCATGCGCGGTGACGTGGACGTGTGTGTGTGTGTGTGTGTGTGTGGCGGTGGGGTGCGACGTGTATGTGTGTGTGCGTCGTGTATGTGTGTCTGTGCAGGCGGCTGCAGCTGGCGCGCGCAGCTCGCTGGGCGTGCTGGACGTGTACGGGCTGGAGTCGCTGGCGCACAACGGGCTGGAGCGGCTGCTCATCAACTACGCGGCGGAGCGCGTGCAGGCGGCGGTGACGGCCGCCACGCTGCGGCGCGAGCAGGACGAGTACGCGCGCGAGGGGCTCGCCTGGACGCCGCTGCCTTACACCGAGCATGACCTGCACGCCGACCTGCTCGACGCGGTCAGTGCACGCTACTACCGCCTTGATATAACTTACTGCTCGACAAGCGTGTCATACGAAACTTGTTCAAATATTGTAGAAAACTGTTGTTAATTTCTCTTTTTTTTAATTGTTGACGTCTTAGTTGTTTTACAAGCCATTACTCCGTGGTTCTCGGTGTTGTAAACGTACATGCATTTTGCATTTTCGTGCGTATTCGTAATCCGTAAGATTTGAAAATGGTAAGAATTACACCACTACTGATATTAAGACGAGTGCAACAGTTAATATTTGTAGAAAATTACAAGTTATTATATTTAAATTGAGTATAAACTGCATATACGGAATTATTTTGCAATATATGTCCAAATTTGCAGAGAAGGTTCAGAATAAGTAATATAGGGTAATGGTGAAAAAAAATTTCAAACATTTTGTTTTTTGTCTTTTAAATTTAGAATAATATTACCATAATTTCCTATTTTACTACGGAAGTACACATTCGTACGGGTCCCTCGGTCGTTAAAAACGTTGTGAATTGAATCGCATAGGAACATGCGGACGTTGCCCATAAAACAAATTCAATTTGGGATAATTTAAATAAAAGTAGAACTCTTATTTATTCGTATTTTTAAAAACTGCAAAATTGTATTTGAATACAAAATGTAGCTACTCTTTAAAACCCTGTATAATTAATATTTGTTTTTCAAATCATAATGTAAGTTCACTATTTGAATCCGAGCTATCGATAAGGTGTATGGCATGTTTATAATCGTGTGATTAGTTTATAGTTGTAAACACCATTTACTTTGGCATTCACTAGTTTAATATACTTACCTAAAATATATAAATTTAAAGTTGCTCGTAGATTGCATATCATTCACACGCATACAGCTCGTGTGTCAGGATGACATGCACCAATGGCGCGTGATTGCTTATCGTGCGTGCTTATGTGAGTGTTTGGGTGCGTGTGCGCAGGGTCCGGAGAGCTTGCTGGGCATGCTGCGGGAGAGCAGCGCGCGCGGTGCGGGTGCGGGGGGCGCGGGGGCTGACGCCGCCTTCCTGCAGCGCCTGCAGCGTCGCCGCCACCCGCGCCTGCTGGTGCTGCCGCCAGACCGCTTCCAGTCAGTGCGCGAGACACTACTCATATTATAACTTTTTATGTTAGGTACGTGAGGGTAATAATATGGTCACCTTAAGATTTACCGCCTCCATAAAACTAAGACTAGGGCAATAATTAGGAACACTTCGAAAAAAAAACAGAAAAAAAACAGTTTATGATTATATTTACTGTATTATCTAGGGTTAAAATGGCTTCGATATAGAAAAACCCTTTTGACCTTTTATTATTTGATTGACTAATGAAAAGCTATCGTAATGCAGAGCCATCTATCGACGCGAACAAGACTGTTAACTTTGAGTTATGACCGGATGCGACCATATTGCCCTCACATACCCCATTCAACACAAGTGATGCCTTCGGCCGCTTTAAACTTTTAAATGTTGTTTTCGTCGTCGTTTATTACAATCTATTAAAATGCAATATTGAATATAACCTTTCCTGTAACAACAACTGTAAATGTTCTTTTAAACGGATCACCCCTATTTGCTGTAGTCGCAATGGTTGTCATAGGCCTCCCCAATATCGCTGCGGTTGTCACGCTTTGCGAGTGGGGCGGCAATCGTAATTTTTTTTGTACTATTGTTATCAGGAAGATGCTGCGGCCCATCTGCTGCCTGTGTCCTTCTGTCGTTTCTTACGACATCCACGGGAAGACGTGCGGTAGTGGACGATCTAAGTCGTCAATACATGGATTCAGACCTATCTCCAGCAGTGGACTAATGAAGGGCTGTAATGTTGGGAGATTCGGGGAATAAATGATAATACGTCCAGTGGTCTTGACTGTAGATTTATTACTCAGTGAATGTCAAATAGGCTATCGTATATATACGAGGCCGGCACTGAAAATTTCGGGAATCAAGGAAGTAACAACATTACTATTTAAAAATGTATTTATTGCTTTTCGAAGTATTCTCCGCGAAATTTGACACATTTTTCCATACGTGGAACCAATTATTGAAGCAACCATTCCATTCGGAAGTTGTGGTCTCCAAAATGGCCGTTTTGTAGGCCACAGCAGTCCACAGCTTCTTCAGGTGATGAAAATCTTTATCCACGCAATTTATTCTTTATTTTAGGGAAAGTATAGAAATCATTAGGGCTTAGGTCGGGGCTGTACGGCGGATGGTCTAATAATTCTATGTTTTCTTGCTCTAAAAACTCTTTTGTTCTGTGTGCGGTGTGAGAACTCGCATTGTCGTGATGGAGGATGATGCGGCGGTTGCAGTTCTCTTTAGGGAGTTCAGAAACGACCTGTGGCAAACAAATGCTAGCATACCATTCTGCATTAACCGTTCTTTGTCCCTCAAGAGGAATAGTCGTAACATGGCCGGTTTTGGAGACAAACGTGGCCACCATTTTTTTGTTGCAACAGCGAACGAACAATTTTTGTTGGATTTAACTCATTTTCGAACACCCAAACTCGTAACTGGTTTTTTGTTTCGGGTTCGTACGCGTATATCCAGGATTCGTCATCTGATACGATGTTGTATACAGCATTTAAAGATCCTGCGTGGAATCTTTCGAGAGTTCTGACGCACCAAGTAACGCGAGCCGCTTTTTACTCTTCACAGAGCGAATGCGGTATCCATCGGGAAAACAACTTTTTTATACCTAATTGTTCATGCAAGATTATTTGTATTTGACTCATGCCAATGTCTAAAGTTGCCTGAATTTCGCGGTATGTCACATGTCGATTTTCCTCAATCAGCTTAGCACATCATCAACTTTTCTTGGGTGGGGAGGGATAAAGCAACCAGCGATAAATTGTGGTTTTGGATGGGGCTTCACCAAATGCAGAAATCATCCGGTCAACACACTGTTTTTGTGTTAAACCACTTCGAAAGTCATAATAAATAATCGCTCTTGAATTTTTTTTTTCGAGTCAATTCCATTTTCTCAACGACTAAACAAGTTTGACAAAACCTTGTGACAAGACCGAGAATCTTTTTTTAAATAAATAAATGGTATTAGATTTTTAAAACCAAGGAGTTTTCAATTAAAAAGATTTTAATATGACAGGAACAGTGGAAATATTCCATTCCCGATACTTTTAGTGCAGTCTAGTACCTACATGAGCATGCACTACATACACACTACACGGCCATCGGCTAAAAGAAAAAAAATAGAAAAACAATTTTTTGTCAATGTTACAAAACTTGGTGAAAAATCAAAAAAGGTGTACATTATTTAAAAATATTACAATACAGTACCCGGTTGACCGAGCTTTGCTCGGTATTTTTCGCTCGGTTTTTTTTTTAATTCGTGTGTTTTGGAAATTATATTTAGATACAAATTACATACTGATGAAATACGAATAATATTTTTTGATCGTAGCGACATAATAGAAAAAACTGAACTGGTTATTTGAATAAAAAATCATGAGTGCAATTAGTTTAATTTAAATTTTCGTGTTTTTAAAAAATACTAAAAAAAAGGACACGAAAAATAGATTTTCTCAAAAAAGAAAGGAACTTGAAAAAAAATTAAAAAAAGTCAGTCGGTCGGTCTGGGCTCGAAACATAGTATTACGGTTTTGTGACCGTCCAATATACCAATTAAGCTATTTGTAATCATTATTAAACTGTCAAAATTTACCATCTTATTCTAACGATATTGTAGCAATTTTTCATTGCCTAAAACACGGACAAAAAGACATTTTCTAAAAATAAATCCTAGCTAGATCGATTTATTTCTCTCGAAACTCCCTGCATTCAAAATTTTATGAAAATCGTTGGAGCCGTTTCCAAGATTCCGAATATATATATATGTATATATATATATATATATATATATATATATATATATATATATTACATATATATATATTAAATAAATTCTTGTACTATATATCATACTTATAACATTATAAAATAAAAATAAAATATTGTGAACACTGTTATTCAAAAAAAATACTTTCTTCTCTTTATTTAAATTTATTAAACTGTCATTAAATTCCTTACTTTATTGTATGATTCTGTAAGTTTTTGTTGTAAAATGCTTTTAGTTCGCCTATCATAACTACATAACTTTTAAAATTTTCATATATAACTATATTCACTACACATGAAAATACAGTTAAAAAAAATATATTAATCAAAAATATTATAATGTGCATATAAGGCTGTTTACAATATTATTATTTTCTTAAACTTAAACTATATCTTTTAATTTAAACCTTAATATACCTTAAAGGTAAAAAAACCAATTCCATTAAAATGGTACCCTTATTTTTAAGTAGATAAGCTTCAACATACTTATTTAAATCACACTGTAGTGTGAGTATATAAACATTACTAGCACTATCCTTGCATAAGGGCCATACTAACTCTAAATAAACTATACAAAAAGCGGATTATCCCGTATCGGTTTATAACCATTGTTTCTTTTATATATTTATTTAAGTGTTTATATATTGTCCCAAACACTTGTCACATCGATTTACATAAGGATGTTACTAATTATGTAGGTATGTAGTCTCTAACTCCGGTAAAAAGAATCTTTTCTTTGTATTGTTTATCATTCGCCTATTTCGGTAGTGACCGTTAGTTGGTTAAAATCGGTTTTAGGCACGTCGTCAATTACTAACATATTTGTAAACAAATAGTGACGTTACTGGATAACAGAGGGCACTTATTACAATAATTTTTCTTTCTTCTAGAACAATCCACCAGAAATAATAAAAGTTGAAGATTATTTGGTAAATATACATTATTCTTAGGATAATAAACCGAAATCATGTTCATTTTTTTGCTCCATATGGTGACTTATTATACCTTAATGCACAACCGGGCATATCACCTTTCGGTGATGTCACTTAGACTAAATGACAAAAATCGGAGATGTATCCTACAGGACAAAAGTTACAGACGACAATTTTGTTGCTGATGTCCCGTCTATTACTGCTTCATACTCAAATGTCTTTGTTTTAAAATGATTTAAATGTAGACCTCAAGGTTGTGCGCACATCCCAAACTACACTTTTACGTTGATATAGAAAAAAAAGTTTATGTACCAATAAATTTAAAATTAATATTACGAAAATGTCATACCATAGGCCCATATTTATAACATACCCGCGTGATAAATATCACGAAATAAAATATAAATGAAATGAATTAATACTCCCATTCCCGGTATCTAATAAATAAATATATATATATATATATATATATATATATATAAGTGAATAGAGTGCTAGCTAAAAGTCAAAACTATTAAGAGGAAAGAAAAGAAAGTACGTACAAGAATTATGGAAAAAAGGCTTAATAATGGACAACAATACAAGATAATAATGGGATCACCGACCAAATCCAAAAGTACGATCAATGTAATGATACTTAATCCAAAAGTGAGAGAGGTAGTTATTTTGCATTTCTGTATCTGGGCTATTTATGCTACCCAAAATGCGACTAACAAATCACACATGTAACAACTGTAGGGATCGATTTACACAACTACGTACGCGAAAATGTGTTGTGCTTCTATGTACTGTGCGCATTATTTGTTTTACCACATTTTATATGAATTTACGAGATTTTTTTTCATATTTAGACACATTAATTCATATTTACAATAACTCTACTTGAATTTCTTTTTTCCGTCATATGTTATTTTATGTAAAATTTGTACATTTTAAGAAAAAAATATAATATAAACTAAATATAGTATTTAGTTTATATTTTGCTTAAAAAAAATAAAGTTCAAAGTTTATCGATACACTTTTATTATTATTATTTAAATAATGTAATACTTACTTAGTTTTTTTTTTCTTTATAAAAGGCAACGAAACCTAAAATTATGTTATCTGATTAAAATATAACTGTCTTTTCAAATGTTATAAATATTTTGTTAAACAAACTTTAGCTGTGTACCTTATAGTGTATTCTTTTTTTATATATAAATTTCTGTCTCAATTAAGATAAATATATTCCTCAGAAATCATGAAATAATGAGTTTTCGAAATTATAAATAACTTGAATAAGAAATATTTGTTAATGTATG